TTTTCAGTGTGGACTCTCTTTTCTCACTTATATTCACTACCATTTAATACCTGCTATAGTTATCCCTTGAGTATTACAGAGGATGTATATCTATATTTGAGTATAACAGTAATAATGATAATATTTGAAAGATATGTCACTGACACTAGACAATGTGATCAGCTGAAAGTTATCCAGAGTCACCACCATTTGCAGGCCTAAGCTCGATTAATTTCGATCTAATAAATGCACTCATTCCTAAAGGTCTGAGCTCCAATGCGTGTATTGAAATAGGTACAATAATGATAATATCATGCTTACAAAATTCCATAAAAATTTGTCAGAAGTAAATTGTGACTGTAAATTTATTTCTTGCCATTTACCTTTAAAAAAAATAGGCATATTATTAACAATTTTCTTAATTTTAAACACACACACACACACACACACACACACAATCTTTTATTTAGGTACATATAAAATGTACATTTCCGGTACCGCATAGGCATAACCGGATTAGTTATATTTGTAACTATATTTAACAATTATTTAATAACAATCATTAGTTTTTAATTAAAGTTTTCAATTAAAGTTTAGGATTATTCTAGAATAAAAATGAAGACATTATTAATTAGTAAAATAGTTTGTGATATAACAATATTATAAATTATTTGTGACATTTCTTTTCTTATCAATAATTATTAATATTTATATATACATATATAAGTTTTCTAACAATGTCTTTAAGTATTTAAATAACATATATATGTGAGGTGAAACATAGTTATTTAGTTAACAAAATATAAACAATTTTTAATACAATTGTAATGAATGCTATAAGTTTAAGAATAACAATAACATTTATGATTATTTATATTCACATATATAAATTGTGGTTTGTATGATATGTTTTATTTAATTTTAATTTTAAAATTCTATAATAAAAATTTATATTAGAGAGAGTAATATGACAGTTCATATTTGGATATGAGAGAGTGAATATAACAGTTCATATTCATTTAACACTCATTCCAATTTGCCTGAAGATCCTCATTGATCTTCAAATCTCAAGACACTCCTTGCAGTCCACTAAGTTCGATTGGAGAGTTCTGAACATCATTCTTATTCAGTCTTTTTAAATATTAAAAAACGATTTGCTGGATGTTTAAAGGTGTTGATTTTTATTTTATTTATTCAGTCTCTACGGCACCCCTTCCCATCCACCTGATGATCCTCGAGTATGATCCTGGGAGAGTCACAATCGATGAATTCGCCACGCAAAATCACCGGGATGAATCTTGAAAGAGTTTCACAGATCGACGAGTTCATAGTTTTCAGAAAGTCACCTTCTAGAATTTCTGTCCTTCCAGCCCCACCAACAATAACTCAACAAAACACCATTAATATGTTGTGAGACTCGAAAATTTCTCCAAAATTCCTCTAATCATGGATTAACCGATTATTGAAATCAATAACAGTGTATCGTAATTTTGAAGTTACGCTGTCACAATAATTTGCTGTACATCAAGACCGCAACACCGATCAAAGCAATGACAATCACAGAGAGTCTTAAAAGTTACATACTGAGTACCCAGAATTTATTAAATACTGTTAGGTCCGAAGTACCATGATGTGCAGAGGCATTACGAGTATATACATATATATACGAGTTGAAGGCCCTCCACTTACATACACTATGGCTTCGTTAATCGTATAGAGCTATTGTTATATGTGCCGTAGTTCGTAAGTTTGTAGGTAATTGGTTTATGGTGTGAACACCAGTTATTTGTTTTTTTAATTTTTGTAGAAATTAGATTTAATTTGGTGCTTTAATTATTGCTAAAGCAGATGCACTATCGCTTATAATGATGATGTTTTTGAGTTTGTATTCTCTGTTTGTCCACCATCAATTAGGTATGTATTGTGTTGATATCGTTGTATTTTTTAATGAGTATTTGTAGATAGTAGAACATTTCCTTGTTATTAATCAATTCGTGTTGTGTACAAGGCCAAGAAATACCTAGCTGAATAGCAATTGTTTTTAGGTCGAGTCTTTCTTGTTCAAGCATTAGGCAGTTGAATATATAGTGTTCACTCCCATCAACATCACCACATATTGAACATCTATTGGTGTTTAAGTTTGCAAATCTATTTAAGTACTTTGCAAATTTTCCATGATCAGTGAAGAATTGTGTTAATAAGTGTGTAGGTTGTATCCAATGATATTTGTATATGTCCTTTATAATTGGGAAGAACTTGTACGTAGTTTTCTCTTTGTATGTATTCCATTTCTGCTGCCATTTATACAAAACATCATTCCATAAAAGTTTTTTAGCTGTCTGTAAACTAATTTTGTTGTATGATATCGTTAAATTTTGGTCATTAGTGGCCGACTTAGCCAATTCATCCGCTCTTTCATTCCCGATAGTTCCTTCGTGTGCTCTGGTCCACATGAAACTATAATTGTTTTTAGAGGCAGTTATTTGTTCTTTAATTTTTGTAGAAATTGGATTTAATTTGGTGCTTTTAATTATTGCTAAAGCAGATGCACTATCGCTTATAATGATGATGTTTTTGAGTTTGTATTCTCTGTTTGTCCACACAATGGCCTCCAGAATTGCAATCATCTCAGCCTGGAAGATTGTGGATAATTCACCCAATTTAAATGTTTGATGATATATTTCAGTGTTGTCAGAAAAAACAACAAAAGCGCACCCAACTTTGTTTTCAATTTTTGAACCATCGGTATAGATTATGATATCTTGATAAGAAATATTCTCTTCAATTTTTATAGGTTGGGTACTGGGATTTTGACTCATTCGATATGGTGTTGGGGTTTCTAATTCTGATGCCAGAATATTGCATTCATTAGTCGATATATCTTTGCCCCATTTTAAATTGAAAATACGACTATAATATTCTATATGTAATTCAATTGGGGTTTTTTTTGCCAGTACTTGTAGAGCCGCATTTGGAGCAGTTCTATAGGCCTTAGTAAGAAGGATGGTGGCTTTTCTTTGTGCAGAAGTCAGTTTTCTTTTTGGATGTATTTTAGAAGAAGCCCATCCCCATGATCCACAAGCATATGTTATTATGGGGATAAAGAGTTGGTTGTATATTGTATCTAGTGCATTAAAAGTAAGGCCCCAGGTATTATGGGCAACTCTAGAAAAAGCTTGGAAAATTCGGCCTGTACGATTGGTAATGAATTCAATATGTTTGTCCCAGGCAAGTCTGTTGTCAAGAATTACGCCTAGATATTTTAGCGTTTTGTCAATGTGTATTGACTTTCCTCCCATTTTAATTGTGGGAACCCTAAGAAAGAGGTTGGGACATCTAGGTAGGTTGAAAATTGTGCCGTTTGTTTTATTTGTATTAAATCTTAGTTTATGATTTTCTCCCCATTTATATATTTTTTCCAAGACAGTAGTTCCTTTTCTCTCTAGTTCTGCTCTGGTATTACCTGCAATTAATACTATGACGTCATCAGCATAAGCAACCATCATGTTTTGCCCAAAGTTCTGTTCGAGGAACAAGTCAAACATAATTGTCCAGAGCAAAGGACCAAGGACAGAACCCTGGGGACAACCTCTTTCAACGTCTCGAGAAACAGTATTATGTCCTTGTTGTATAATTGCTGTTCTTTCAGATAAGTAATTATGTAGAATTTTATATAAATTCCCGGGACACTTTTTCCTACTAAGTTGTAACAGTATTAGCGGCCACCATGTACTATCAAAAGCTTTACTTATGTCTAAGCTTATCCCGAGTACAAATCTATTGTCATTATTCAAAAGATCTATTATTGTGTTATTTACAAAGTAAATAGCATCAGAAGCAGATTTTTGGTGTCTGAAACCATATTGGGAATTATGTAGACATTGATGATGTTCCATATGCCAATGTAACCTTAATTTTAAACAGTAAACTACAAGTTTGCATAAACTTTCTATTGCTTATTAGTTTGGTGCTTTTATTATGCACTTATAATAGAGAAGTGGACAGCACGCCGACCGTTTAATAGGAGAAACTTTTATCATATAGGCGTTAAATTACAAATAAATGTCGCTAGACTGACAAGCACTTATTTTAAAAAAATTTTCTTACGTTCTACTGTTGTTTCCATTCCAAAACGTTAATACACTTGAAACGAGTACTTATTTGTATTAAAAAAAAAAAAAAAGGAATTTAACCGTTTTTAACGACCTGATGAAGACAAAAATAATTATCGTCGAAAGTGCTTGTCGGTCTAGCGACATTTATTTGTAATTTAACACTTATATGATAAAAGTTTCTCCTATATTATGCACTTATTGAATCAATTTAAATTAATAAAATTCTAATTAGAATTACTTTAAATATAACAAGTAAACTTATTGTGACATTGTCAAAAATTGCAAAAAAATTTATTTTTTCGATTTTTTGCACTATCTTCTTGGCCCTGTACAGTAAATCATACTTTTCCTTCAACAATAGAGTCGTTCCAATCATCTATCTATCAGTAACACCTTTTGGGGGAAATTTTTGAATTGAAATAACACGACTTCTTGTTTGTATTAGACATTTGTATATAGTTAATTTGGGCCTCCTGACCTCAAGGTTTCCATATCTGGTCTCGAATTTCATCCATCTAATTCCTTTCTCAAGATTAAGGAAAGACAGACAGACAGCAGTGAGAATTTATAGGTCTACAATTTTTTAAAATTGCAACCTAAAAAATATTCACTATAATATAATAATTTACTGCAAAGGATATTAATTTTTATTGTTCAAATCATGATTTGTTGTTTCTCTTCAACAGCTAACCATTTTTTATATTACAGACAATTTAAAATTATAACAGTTCAGTAAATTGAACTTATTAGACATGATATATTAATATATCATTTAAATACTTTGAAAAACACTTTAGTGAAATGGGCAAACTTTCTCCTTATATTCCCAGTAAAAATTACATGAAACAATAAAATTATTTTAAATATCACATCATCAAAGAATAATTTTATAATTTTCTTTTTAAGGGAAGAGCCCGAAGAACATTCCTGGCTGAATGATTTTGAAAATTTCTCTGAGCCATACAAGGTAAGAATATTTTTTAATATTACAGACAGTTGAGTTTTAATACCAATAACGGAGTGTCAATGTATTTTGTAGTTTGCAGCAAAATTGGACCTTTTGAGAAAGAATTAATGAACTTTTTCCATGTTTAAATTGTTAAAATTGTATATGATCATTTTGAATTTAAATCTCGTAATTTCTCTGAATGTGAAATCAAAAAATATTTTATGTAAACATTAGAAAAAGAAAAATATGAAACTTTGCATGATTTAAAAGTTCAGATTGCTACTTTCGGGAAACCAAAATTTCTTTTTATTAAATAATAATCTTGACTATTTTATGACCATTCTCAGCTTGCAATGAATAAAAATAAATGATGGAGAATAAAAATTTATTTGGTGTGAGCCAAGGTTGGCCATAGAATGACAAGAAACATTGTCGAATAAAGAATAATTTTGGTTTTTTAAACTTAACAGTTTGGTCATTTAAATAAAAAAAATTATTATTATTAACTATAGGAATGATTAAACTAGAGTTTAATCATTCCTATAGTTATTGAGTAAAGTGACATTCAATTATCATGCATCATAACAGTTTTTGTCTTAGTAGATGCTGAATTTCTCACATATTTACTTCAATATTTGAGCAAATATAAAATAAGCAATTGTTACTTAAAGTTAAATTGATTTAATTTACAATTATTTCTAAAAACACAGATTGATCAATAATTATATTTTGCAAATAAAAATAAAACTGTAAACACATAGCAATTTGTTACTTGTTATTCCGCTAATTAATATTGAATGACTTTGACTCTGTGCTTGAAATTCAAACCTAAACCTTTTTCACTTGTTTCGAGTAAAAGGAATTATTATTTAATTTAATGTCATAAAGAATTTATCATTCATTCATCAGTCAGAGAATATTTGTTGTCTGTTACATTTATTATGTATGTATTTTAGGAATATCAGTTTGCAGAAGATAATCCAATGAAAACTCACTCCGAACCGTTTGAAGAAGGACTAGAGAAACTAAAAGAAGGCGATATTCCAAGTGCTGTATTGTTGTTTGAAGCTGCAGTGCAGAGTAATCCGGAACACGAAATGGTAAATATATTTACTAATCTTTCACAGTCTTGTAAGACTGTGAAAATAATATTTTTTTCAAACATACAATCATGTACAGTGAATGATCAGATAACGAACATAATCCATTCCAAGACCATGTTTGCTATTCGAATTGTTTGTTAATCAATTATCAATTTACCATAGATTTTCGTGGGAATTTGATTAATTTGTTCTGGAAATCCCAAAAAATAAATAAAAATTATATACTTTCTTACTATGTTTATTTACATGTAATAACAAACTAAAAGCAATCTCCATTTTTTCATGGATGACACATCTTTGTTTCTCAGATGCGATTTTTGTTATGCCTTTATCTGCTTGAATCTTCTTGATTATATCTTTTATAGCTAAGATTGTATCTACTGTAGACCTGTTGAATTCATCTGCTTACAATATCAGACGTCTGCCCACTCTACCATGGCTATTGTTTAGTTTCTATAGTGAACACAGTTCTTGACAATAATATTATGGATTTTAGGTCCCATAATATTATCAGTTTTTTAAATAAAAAGTTCAGAAAAGCACTTACAAAAATTTAGAGAACAGAAATTAACTAATGCAAAAAATGTTATGTATACAATTGTGAAAGCCTCATTCCATAAACCATGTATAGATAATACCATTAAAATATAGTTTTACAAATCTTAAAGAAAGCGTTACTTCTTGTGTTTGTTGTCCAAACATAAAAATCTTTTGCGAAAGTGTTCGTTAAACGATCATCCACTATATTTTGTTAAAATTGATTTTGTGAAATGAAAATGTTTTTCCAATTTGAAAGATTACAGATTTAAATTTGCCTGACAATGATCTAAAAGTATATTCATAGAATATAATAGAATGGAATGTGAATTTTAAAAATACCTTTTGTTTTATTTCAGTAAATACAACATATAATACCATATTAATCTGAATATTATATGATGTTTTTCCCAGTTTTATAAAGGTGAAAAATCACTCTTGATCTACATTTGAATCCAATTAAAGTTTTTTTGATTTAGATGTGTGTTGTACAGAGGTAAACTGAAGCTAAAAGTCAGCCGACTTGGGACCTGTCCTATGACCTGAAAACTATGCATGGAAATTGTGTTTACACAATTCTAAATAATTCATTAATCAATTGTTTTTGTAATATTGACCAAACTAACGATAATCAAACAATAATTGATTAACTGATTGTTTTAATTGTATTCAACAGAATTGATCAGTTTTGGTAACATCTACAGAAATTTTAGTTTGGTAGTTTTTTTGTAAAGACTCCTAAGAGTGAAATAATCAAGCAATCATCAAAAATTGGGGAAGGTTGCTGAAAATTTACTGCAAAATTTATTCTGTTATAAAGTACAAATTTCCATCATAATCATATCAAATATATAAATTTGTAATTACATGTTTTAGACTTTATAAAAATGACGGTTATAGAAAAAAAATAATAACAGGAAAAACAAAACAAAAAGTTTGGTTTCATTTTCAATAGTCATAAAATTGGAAGTACACTTTCCAGAATACGCACGAAATATGCAAGGAAGCCTACATCCCTGGCAAATATATATTCGGAACAGTCTACCACCAGGTGCATAATACATTTCAATTTTGCTTTATAACTTTCATTAATTTCATTTTATTCATTGATTGATTGATATTGACACACCAAAAAAGAAACCAACAAGTTACAATTTGTCACTTATGTGTCTTGGATACCAACGTGACAAATTATATATTATTATATTTCTTTCTATAAAACAAACCTTTTGAGTACAATTTTCAAATCAGTTAGGTATGATTGAGCTGCAATTTCAAACAAGAAGTTATTTATTATGACTGGGCTGCAATTTTTAATTTAAAATATATGATCTCCACCTCAAATCTGTAGTGGTTTGACCCTGTACATCATACTTTTCCTTTAGCAATGGAGTCATGCCAATCATCTATCTAACACCTTTCAGGGGAATTTTTTAATTGAAATAACGTGACTTCTTGTTTGTACCAGACATTTGTATATAGTTAATTAGACCTCCTGCCCCTAAAGTTACCTATCTAGTCTTGAATTTCACCTATCTAACTTCTTTCTCGTGATTAAGGAAAGACAGATGGACAAACAGATGATAACAGTGAGAATTTATAGGTTTACAATTTTTTGAAATTGCAGCCCAAAAATTTGGATTTTAATTGTTTTTCTTCAAAAAATGAAAAAATTGGAAGTTGACTTACATTTGGGACAATGTTAATTTGTGTAAAATATTTTTTTAAAAAAAAGCAAGGTTTTTGATAAAATATAAATTAATTTTTTACAGGTTTAACATTTAGTTTAAAGATCATAATATAAATAATGATGATAATACTTTTTAGGCATGGCAATATTTAGGAACTACTCAAGCAGAAAATGAACAAGAACCTCAAGCAATCTCTGCTCTTAAACAGTAAGAAATAAACTTTATATTGTTTCTGAAAGTAGACTTAATTTTAAAACGTTAAAAGAATTTTATGCACAATAAACAGTTATTTTATTTTAGATGTTTGAAATTAAATCCGAGGAATCTGGTAGCACTGATGTCACTTGCTGCAAGTTACACGAATGAATCTCTACAGCAGCATGCCTGTGTTACGCTACAGGATTGGCTCAGATATAATCCTAAATATTCGCACTTGGTGCCTGAAAGTTCCGACTTGGGTTTGTCACTTAAAATGTTTGCCATGCCTTCGATGTTATCCAAGTAAGTAAAACACTGATTTAATGGATATTAAATGTTAGAAAACCTTGTACAGCAGCATTAAAAAAATCTTTAATAAACTAACATTTTCAATCATATTCAATAATCTTCCTCAGATTTATAAACCCTAAATCAAACAATTTTTATGTTTGTGTTCCTAAATTGTTCAATTTAGGGTTTGTAAACCTGAGATAGATCATTGAATACAATCAAAAACATTAGTTTATTAAAGTTTTTCTATGCTGGCATATGAGGTTTTCTGACATCAAATAAGTGAAATTTTATAATTACATAAAAATTTTACTAAAGACAAACTATTAATCTTTTCTTACAAACAAGTTTTGAATAAAAAAGTATATGGTTTGCAATAAATTTTAAGATTTTATCCAAGTTAATGCTTTAAGTCAATATTATAAAATTATTTCTTGTGTATAATTTGGCTCATAATGGCTTGTGCATTAAAATAGGGCAGTTACATGATTGACAAAATATTGATATAAATTTATCAGTAAGTTTACAAGAAAATCTGAAACTTTATGTCCAAATTATTACAAAAAAAGAATGTGGGGTTAAAGAATTTGTGTAATGTCGATTGCTTTTTTCTCTTCAGGATTTTTCAGAAGTTATTAATAGCATTGTAATTGTAGAGATCCCTAAGCCTATTAACCTCAATCTGGTTTGGATGCCATTCCAAGACCGTTGATCTGACATCCTCCCACTTCTTCAAAAGTTGTTTAATAGCAGATATCAGTATTAATCCTCTTTTTCAGAAGAAAACCTATCTTTCCAAGTTTCTTGGTGTTCTTCTGTCGTCTGATCAGTTTCAGGTTCCATTATGAGCTCTTCAATGTTCTTTACTTCTCAGATGTGATTTTTGTTACTTCTTTTAGCTGCTTGAGTCTTCTTGATTATACAGTATCTTTCTTAGATAAGATCGAACTGTAGCCTACTGTAGACCTGTTCAAGCCATACAGCCCAGCAACATCAGACATCTGCCCACTCACTACCTTTGCTATTATACTCTCACCTTTCGAAAAGAAGAACCGACACAAAACTTAACGAGTGCCCACCCAACAGTCTCACGAATACTATAAAAGAATTGTTTCTGTCAGAAAAATAGAAGGCTGGAATTACAAGGGAGAGTTTCAAAGTTTGGAGGAATACTATCCGATCAGTATATACCGGGTTGAGCATCGATGTTAACGTCTCCCACACTCCGAAAAGTTTTGAATTGTTGCCTGAATTCAAGGGAAGACCAATCAGTATTCATTATTTTACGTCGCTTCTTCTTGTGTTTGTCCGAACATAAAAATCTTTCACAAAAGTGTTCGTTAACAAATCACCCACTGTATTAATAATTTGCTTACCATTACCATATATTACTTTAGTACTTAATGTACTGGCAGTTATGGAGTATGTTGTTACTCAGTAGGCTTAAAGCCTGTGACTTTATAAGAAAAATGTATGCAGCCTACTGAATGCCTACAAAGTTCCCTTGCAACCCACAGCCCAAAAATGACATCACCTGTATAAATGATCAGTATGCTTCAATTATATTAAATATTCACTTTTTATATGTAGTAGAGATAAGAAAGTTAAGTATGTCAAATTTCCAAGAAAACTGATCTTTGTTTTTAAGGCATTTCTCATCAGATATACATAAGATTTTTTCAAATATGCATGCTCACAAGTTTTTGTGGTTACTTTTGGATAGCAAACAGAGAAGTTGTAATCCCCTGAAATTCACTTAGTATAAACAATTAAGCTGCTAACAACATGGGTTTGTGTTCAGCCAATTTTGGCTGCTTATATTTTCTGTAAATCAGGTTTAAGGCATTTTTGTCTAGCTTTCTCTCTGTACAAACTGGATTTTATAGCTTTCAGCAAGAATCGTGTACATTTTCTGATTGGTATTGTGAATGGTTTTAGTCATTTTTGCAAACATTTACACCAACCGAAACTGCTGAGGAAATAGACTCCTCTGCATCTCATTTGCAAGTGTGCAGACTGTTGTTACTCAAGTAGACTTGTTCATCTTGGTTCAAACTTTTTGAGCCCTGGCAATGTGTCTCAGCTTTCCTTTAGAGGTCTGCAATTATTTTACTTTTTTAAAGAGATCATACTTATGAGAAACAGATAAATTTTGATTTATATTATAATTTCAAAAGTTAAATAAAAATTTTATACAGTAATTTCTAAATAAATTTGTATTATTTCAGTGAAAAACATTCGGAAATATGTGAACTGTACATCAGAGCGGCCCGGATGTGTCCGAACGATCCAGATCCTGACGTGCAGTGTGGACTGGGCATTCTCTTCAACCTGACTGGCGAATACGATAAAGCCGTAGATTGCTTCAAAGCCGCTCTGCAAATAAGACCTGAAGTAAGCTGAACTTTTTAAATTCTATTTACGTTATAATTTTTGATAGTATAAAATAAAATATTAAAAACAACAGTGGGGAAAAAATTTTTTTAACGTTTTCTTTCAAAAAATCTAATGGTCGAGAGAGGTTGCACAGCACAGTCGCTGATCTTATCACAATATGGATTGAAATGCTCAGTGCAAATGGGTATAACAATGCAATTTAAACTATAAATAGACATGATAAAATATCAGTCTACCACTACAAGTTCTGATTTAATCGAGACCTTCATACTTACCACGATAGTTTAGATTAGGTAATCTTTATTCCTCCGCCTTCTTACTAATCTTACCTGCTTCCTGAAAATAGGTGAAATTAATCTTGGCTGAACTTACCATAATATAGTTGGTCGTACATGCCACCTGACAACAGTAATACTGCATTTGCACACAATCCACAACTCACTTAATCTTGATTTACCTACAATCTCAATTGCAACTGTTGCCAATCAAACTCCAAGCTGTTCACACAGACAGTCTGCTTGAGAAGAACCTGGCTATTACATGCGATGATAAAACTGACATAACTACTCGATAAATCACAAACACCAACAAACACAATGGAAGTTTTGGTTAGAAATAAATACTTTCTCTTGCCATGTATTTAATAATAGCCAGATCTCATCGTCTCTCCAGATGTCTTTTTTATTTCTCTGTTGATAGTTCGACATGTGTTCTGCAGCCATCTTGTTTCTTCTTGCATTTGTGGGATTGTGGGAACTCTCCTGTGATTGGATCTAGTTTCAAAAACTCTTGTGTCGACCATAATTGAACCTTGTTTCAGTCAAGATTGAAATGGTCGAGAGAGGTTGCACAGCACAGTCGCTGATCTTATCACAATATGGATTGAAATGCTCAGTGCAAATGGGTATAACAATGCAATTTAAACTATAATCAAAAAGAATATTTTTACAGGAAATGTAAATAATTTCATATTTGTTCTTAGTTAAGTAGTATACNTCGAGAGAGGTTGCACAGCACAGTCGCTGATCTTATCACAATATGGATTGAAATGCTCAGTGCAAATGGGTATAACAATGCAATTTAAACTATAATCAAAAAGAATATTTTTACAGGAAATGTAAATAATTTCATATTTGTTCTTAGTTAAGTAGTATACTGCATATGTATTTTTAATAAAAAGAATTTTTAAAGTTTTGTTTATAATATTTATCTGTTGTATCTGATACATTGATATCAAATTGTCAGAAGTCAATTATACAGATATCCATTAAAAATACTTGTGTGCTTGTATCTGTGTGAAACTAACTCTATTTCAGAGAAACTGTTACTTGAGATTAATGCAAATGAATAAAAAAGAAAATTTAATGGTTTTTTTTCTTTTGTTTGTTTCTTCTCACTAATCTCATTCATATATCCGATTCATGATATTTGTGACAAATATTCAAAATAAACTCAAGCAGTGAAAAGATGAGAATAAACTGTATATTAATAATCACTGATGCCATTATCATACTATATGTTTTGTTTTATATTGATTATCACAAACACTTCTGTTTACATGCACATAATTGAATACAAATCAAGTAATCCAAGCAATTTGTTTATTTAACCCCTATATTTGATTTTCAAATTTTTTTTTTTTTTTTGTATTATAAGATTCAGAAATATATCATTTATAATTTATATAAATATTTAAGGTTTTCCGTATTTTAACAGGACAGTCTTCTTTGGAATAAACTTGGTGCAACTCTTGCCAATAGTAATCGATCCGAAGAAGCTATTGAAGCGTATCACCATGCTTTAGAATTATCGCCTGGTTTTATACGTTCACGTTTCAATCTTGGAATTAGTTGTATTAATTTGGGTGCATACAAGTATGTCATATTTTTTTTGTGTATAACATTTAAGTCTTTTTTATAACTGACAATATTTTAAATATGAAATGATAATTCCCCAATTTTATAACTTTTATTTGACTGTATTATTTTCAAAATTTCCAGAGAAGCAGCCGAACACCTTCTGATCACCTTAAATTTACAGAATGCTGGCCGTGGTCCACAGGGTACAAAATCGCAGGCGGCAGTGTCGTATAACATTTGGTCAACACTGAGAATGGTCATGACGCTCCTGAAAAGACACGACCTGTATGAAGCAGTCGACTCTAAAGACTTAGAAATGCTCAACAAAGAATTTGGGATAGACAGTTGACTCCCCAATGATAAAGTAACTTGTGAATGTATTTATAATGTTTGAAGAGCTTATTCCAAATGGCTGTAAGTCAAAATACAAATATTGACGTCGAAATTATTTAAAATTCGACTTGAAATCTAGTCTCGGTTTCACAGTTTGATGAGTAAATCAAACTCGATTCGAAGTAATTGCAAACTATGCATAAATATACAATATTTATTAATTATAAACAGTTAAGTTGGCTATTTGAAACAATGAGTTCCAATATACAAAACTTATGCAATAAATAACAAAATATTCCATCCTAGTTTAATAATAAAAATAGTACTGGGTGAGAAAATTGATCCCTTTATTAATAATTGAGTGGCAGTCTGTTTTTAGAACAATGACAGACATACTGATTTATGCAAAAAAGGATAATTTTTAAAATTGCTTAATAAATTCTATTTAAATATTAAAAACATATCAAACAAATAAGAGAGAGAGAAAATTCAATTTATTTTAGCTTATTTATGCACAAAATTGATATTTTTATTTTGTTTTTATTTATAGGAAAGCAATGTTGGTTGAAAACTATCTCAAATTGATGATAAATTTTCCAGAACAAATGCATAAACTCAGCAAATAGCTTGAAAAGGAGTTAACAGAAATGATATTGACTCATCCGTGCATAAATTTTATTATTTTTATATTATGAAAATAATTCTGTCCATTAAAAACTGATTTTAAGGATTTATTTTAATGAGATTGTTAACTAAAGCACCGTTTGTGTGACTTTTCCATTCCTTAAAATCAGTTACGCATTAAAGAGGAGGAGGATGAAAATAAAAAACTTTTGATCCCTTATCATATTAAATGAAAGTTTTGATATTTGTATGCCTAAGAATGATTGATATTCGAAGCTGAATTATTAATAACGTCGAGAGATGATTTAAACTGATGCTTTTGATATATTTTAAATGACACAAAGCAATAAAGCTAAAATATAATTAATATCAATTGATATTTCACCGGACTGATAAAATTCAAATTGAAAAGAGCAGAATTGCTTGTTACAATAGAAAAATATGCTTAATTCAGTTTAATATCAATTTGTTTGCAATGACTATATTGCAGAAATTATTGTAGTAGTAAAATGTCAAAGGTTTAACACCTAGACAAAATAATAATAATTGGGACAGGTCTGATGATGATGGTAGATAAACTGTTTTGAAGCAGAGAAAATGCAGAAGTGAAGCTAGGATATTAATAACCAACAAAAAGGAAACAATTGTTCTAGCCTAGGGTAAGGTTACAGGAATTAGAAAGAGAGCCAGAGAGAGTCAAAGGTGATAAACATAAATTAATTGTTGTAAGGAAAAAAAAAACTGCCAACTTTTACCAGTCTGTTTTTAATGCCAATAAGAAATTGCCACTAAAGGCAACAATTATTAAAGTTAAAAATGATTCTGCCTACCTAAATTAATAAACTCCTTTAATCATTTATTCTTATTAAAACAAATCAATGATGTTTAGCTTAACCAACCCTACAGTTAATATATAAGACCTTCAAAAGGTCTTATACAAATCTGCATTATAATAATTTTGAATAATACAACATGGATACTCCTACCATTTTAAAAGATACAAATATAAATTTTAAAAATAATTGCTAATCACCAGTTTTATATATTACACTATGGCGAATGTTAAATTAACAATGTGACTAATTCTGATTTATGACGACCTTGATTGCAGTTTGGCTGTCAGAATAGATCCCATTAGGATGTCTGTCTGTTAAAATTTGTAGGAAACAAAAATATAATAATGATATATATAAATTCTGTTCTTATTACCTAGTAGAAGTTATATGGAAATTTATTAAGCAATCATAATAAATGCTTTAAAAAATTATCCTTTCTTCTGCTATAGTTAGGAAATGGTGTAAACATATTAATATCAGAATATAATTTTTAGAAACTGAATAATGAGCGTTAAAATTAAATTTTTTTTTATACATTTATTACATTATCTTTATTTCTAACAATTATTAGAGAAACATTTTAAATATACATATTGCATTTGTTATGTTACATTAAATAATATTTCTTATTAACTGTTATTTAATGAAGTTATTTCTATTTCTAAGTTGTAATATATTCTAAAAAATTTTAGATTAAATCTAGTATTAAGATGGTACCATAAGTTGATCAAAAGAGAAAGATCTATTAACAAAATAAGCATGTTACCATCACTTACATAAATTAATATATCTTTCTCTTTTTGTTAACCCCATGGAATTAATGCAAATAAGTTGTAATATATCTGGTTAGCAAAATCCAAATTACAGTAATCAAATGCGTGAGTTATTTAAGGGAATTTTTTATTACGGTAACAGTCCTGTGCTAATTTCTGTTCATTTGGCAATGCCAAATCTAAATCATTATAAAAAAGATTATCATATGCTAGTTTAAAATTATTTATACTATAAAAATGATCCAATCATAATTTTGTACAGAACTTTACTTGTGTTTAAATAAGCATCTTTAAAACTTCTTGATGTTGTCAACTGACACTTTCTACAATATGATTTTCGTATTCAAATTTTTTACAATTAAGATTTAAACTTGAAATATTTAATATTTTCCCTTCTATTGACAGTGAAATTAAAGAAAACATAAAAATGTCTTCTATAAAATGCTTTAGTATTACCAGACAAATGCTTTAGTATTAGAACTTATTAATGAAGAAGACAAGTGGACATTATAGATTTCAGTATTTTTGCATGGCAATTTCTAAAATTATCACAATTTTTACAAGTAATGCTAATATATCGATTGTTAAGAATTTGAAAGATTATCATACTAATTACAAACATAATTAAAACAAAAAATAATAATAATTTCTTTTGTCTATCAAATTGTTATACTAATATGAATTATTCATTTTTATTTATGTTTTGACTGTTTATAAATATTCTTTTTATAAATTATTATGTTTATAAATATGTTTAGTATGCTTATTATGTTTATAAATATAATAAACAGTCAGTAATTATAAATTACTGACTGTTTATAAATATTCAATAAACAACATAAATATAATAATCAGTGTACATATACAGTACTTCAATACGAATTTATATTTAAATTCATCCTCATTTAACATTATTCCAATCTCAGTTTATTTGAATATGCAATTTAGCAACTCTATAATTACACAAACGTTTACTATTGTAAATAAATTTTTAAGGTAAAAAGTCACTAAAGTATTACACAATTTAGGAAGAAAAGAGTTGCTAATGTTTTACATCTATGTTAGAATAACATAGAAATGTAAAATAGGCATAAAGAATATGCCATTTTAGAATTTTAAAATTCTATTTAAAAAATTAAACTTAATTCTTAGGCAAGCTTGCCTTTGTACAAGATTCTTCAATTTTTTTTCTATTCTTTACAATAAATATTAAAAAAAACAAAGACAAGTTCTAAAATAGTCCTCAAACTGTCACTGATTTAATGATTTTAAATTAGATGGAATTTATTTATAATTTGGTTCTAACTTTATAATGTTATTAACAAAAGAATTGGTGTATTAAATTTAATAAATTGTCATAAACATACGAAAATTATAATTTTAATTAAGAAACTTAACACAACATTAGCATGTTATTACTGTGCTGAGATTTTTTAATAACATTTTTGTTTCCTCCATTTTTTTTTATAGAAAATGAATTCTTCATTATAGAATCCTTCCTTTATACCAGTAGATTTTATTTTGTTTATAAATTTTAATCATTTTAAATCATGTAAACACTGACGTTTTGTAATTTGTACTAATAGACATTAAATGCGTTTTAACCTTGTCTAATAAATGCATAGCAATTCAAAATGTTTTATATCCTCATCTGAATATCATATAGCCTTTGTTGATTTGTCATATTTTCTTTATTATAATAAATTAAATACATTGTTTATCAAATTTTTTTATTATTCTGAGAAGATATTTACTAATGTTTTCTTTTATACACTTTCCAATGATGGTAGATTGTAATTTCCTCGTATTACACAACTATCATTTAGCATTACTATTTTCCNTGGAGAAGATATCAAAGATATTCCCACCAGTTATGTCATTAAAGGCCTCGAAGATTATGAATTTCCAGTCGTCGGTGAGTCGATTTTCTTTATTATATACAGTGGTACCTCAGGATACGAAATTAATCCGTTCCGAAACTGAGATCGTATCATGAAAATGTCGTAAGGTGGATCATCTTTTCCCATACGATTACATGTAAAACCAAATAATTCGTTCCAACGCGAAAAACATACTCAAATTAAAGCCAAGTAATACATTAAAAAAAATAACTGTAGTAAGAAAAACAAATGAAAAATGCGAACTAATTTAACGTCGTATGGTGAGTTTTTGTTCGTATCGTGGAGCAAAAATATGTTTGAATTTCATGTCGTATCCTGAAAATTTCGTATGCTGGGGCGTTCGTAACCTGAGGTACCACTGTATATATAATAAAGTTAAATTACGGTACAAATACACTATCGCCATTTTAATGCAGATACACACCTGAAAACAATTGTAACGGGATAATTTTGTTTGTTTTTAAACCGTAAGAATGTGAGGACGGTTCATTGGCGTTTATCGAATGAGTAATTTTATTCATTGGTAAACGAGAATTGTGTTTACATTCTGACTCGCCTTTCTAATTAGTTACAGACACTACTAACTACACATTTATGTTTACATTACAGTCATGTTATTTGGTTAATATGGAGGCAAAATTTCCTGTTGTTGTAAATCAAGGGGACGGGTGGAAAAACGGCATATCACATGTTAAGGAGGTATTCGATTCCATCCGTACCGGCAGTTTAATACGGGTGTAAGACCTGTGGGCACTCTTCCGAATAGTGAAACTTTCTTAAGAGGGACGGAGATGTACTGTACAGTACAAACCCAAATTTGTTTTATATTATTGTGAAACGACGAGGGGTGGTTTTTTTGTATCAATTAACATAAACACTGTAATAGTGTGGTGGAGATTACGGGATGATCTCAACCACACTAGTGTTTATATTAATCGATCCAAATCTGTTTTTACGCCTTCACCCTGCCCCCGGCGGTTGGAGTTTGGCTCCACCGAAGCGGCCATTTTTCTATTGTACACACAGGGTGGTAAAGTAGAACACGTTGTTTACACGATTTTTTTTGTTTCTCCCCGGAGGTACGTACGTGGACAGGAGAGTGGTACCGGGTTTCCGCTACCGGGTGCGTCTGAACCACAGCAAGACTCGGCTGTTCGGCGGAGAGGCATTGACTCTGAAATCCGTGGGAATGGGATATGGAAAACGTGTAGTGTTCGAAGACAAAAAGCCATTTTTGATCGATAACTACTTCTGGTCCGACACTCATTCGGACGGTTACGGATTTTCGTTGGTTGCCGTGGAGGAGGGCGACCGTTTCGACATCAGACAGACGGACAACGGGGCCAGCCTGGGCACCGTCCAAGTAGTCGACTGTCAAGGGGGACAGCGAGAAATTCGCATGAAAATTAACGAAGACGGTACTGTAGAGAAAACCGTCGAAGTGGAGTTCTGGGTTAACGTCGACTCTTCTCTGTGCAGCGATTCTTGTTACAGAGTTTTGGGAGAAGTTTTGTTAGTCAAGTCGAAGAAGTGTCCTTCCGCTAAAGTGGTAAGAGTTCGCTTGAACGATTTCGTCCTCAAGAACTGCTCTTTCTATCCCTTGTAAAAAAACAGTTCGGTTGATTTGTTCCTGTATACACGACACCCGTTCTGTTAAACATGTACTGTACAATAGATTTAATAAAGTGTGTTAAGTTCTGCAAATTTTTTTTCTCTCTCTCTCTCTCTCTCTCTCCTCGATCGGATTTATCTCCCGACGTCACACTAACGTTTTATCGATTGGTCTTCGCAAAAATGCACTTTTAAATTGATTTTTACACCGAAAATTGACGGCTTAAAAAGAAAATAATTCGGAATTCCTTTAGCTTTTCATTTAACGACTCGTTAAACGTTTTTTCTTTAAAATTTAACGTGTAAGTTGAAATCAATTCTTATTAAATAGGATTAAATTGTGNATATTTTCTTTATTATAATAAATTAAATACATTGTTTATCAAATTTTTTTATTATTCTGAGAAGATATTTACTAATGTTTTCTTTTATACACTTTCCAATGATGGTAGATTGTAATTTCCTCGTATTACACAACTATCATTTAGCATTACTATTTTCCTGTTTTGTTTTGGTCTTGATAGTTTATTTTATCCTTTCATTCAAGTTTATAGATTAGGAATGTTTAGAATAGTTTTGTGAACAGTTTTCAATGTACTGCAGACCAATGAATAAAGTGAGATTCGTTCTTCCTCTGGAAATGTGTTCTTGTCAAAATTAAACAGAGGAATGCATATTTAACAAATTATTCCTCTACGTATCCCTCTCTAGTATATTTAACACATTTTTAGTAGTGTTATAAAGCAATGCCTTTTAATAGAAATGGCTAAATGATCAGTATCATATATGCACCTGGTTGATTTATGCTTGAATTTTACATTAAGTTTGAATCAATTGCAATTGATTCAAATTAAAGTAATACATTTTTAATTGTGAGGGATGCTGACGTCATTGCTGTATTTTGCCACGTCACTGTAGATTTTACGATGACAACACAATGTCTTCATAGTTTTCTGTTTAAACGAGTATTATTCCTTTTGATTTCCAAATTAAAACGTGAAAGAAGAGGTTTTTTTTAATTGAATTTAATTGGAAGTTGATAATCTTTAAGATTTTATTTTATGATTACTTTTATCCTCCATTTACTTGTTTAAATAGGGCAAATAGTTTGTTGTATTTTATATTCTGTGTTTAATTTATGTTAAAAAAAAATGGTTAAAATGGTTTGAAAGTCATCTGATAGTTAATAATAATTGTAAAGTGTATTGTTTGAAGTTAGGTCTTTTTCCATGTTGATCATTTTTCATTATACTTTCTCATCTTTCTTATTTTCTAATTGTGTTCTTTGCCTTTTAGATATTAAAATGAACACTTAGGTAATAATTTTGATCAATAATTGATGTTTGAGGAAGTTAAATTACGGTATTTTTCAAGACTGTATTGTAATAATAGTAAATATTTTATGTTCTGCTACGAAGATGCTCTCTTTAAAGAAACATGTCGTTTTGTCATACAATTTTAATAACAGAGAATTTTTAAATATCTTAATAATTATCAAAAATATCCAGCAACGAGTTGCTTAACTTTCCCTGCCAAACTTTAAAATATTGTGTGTGGCACGCTCTGCTAAGAGATTTTATTTTAAAAACTTAATATTATTAATTATTATAAGATGGCAAACAGCTTAATTTTGGAGCAGAGACGAATTTTATTTTATTTTATTTTTTTAAATTATAAATACAAATAACAGGTAAAATCTTAATTCCTCCCCACTCCAGGTACGACACGCGATTCCTTTATCTCCCTCCACCTTCTCGACCTTTAACCACCAAAATTCAATAGCATCGATTCCTCTAATACACGACTTCCTTGCAAAAAGTTTAAAAATTTTCGACAAAAGGCACGCAAGTTATTGAGCTTCAAAGTGATCGAAAAAATCGTGCCTCTCCCTCGCACGTATAGAAATTACCCCCCGAATTTTTTTTTTTTTTCATTTTTCGACGTTTTAAGACCCTCCAGTCCGAAAATGTAAAAATCTTGAAAAGCCATTTTTTTTGACCGGTGGCCATACTTTCCTTGCCGAGTTATATTTTTTAATTAATGTAATTCTTCAAATAGGACTACTAACAATAGGAATAACACAAATTATATTGTAATATTCGAAATAATTAATTAATTGATTTTTTGGCCGTCGTCGGTATACCATACGGAGCCTTACATGAAACATTTTTTACTGTAAAATTCCTTAAGAAGCGCTGCATCACCGCACCACTACACAAAATTAATAAAGCCTATCGCATTCAAATATCTCAATTGTATTTATTTAAATGCAAAGTTTGCATTCGACGTCTTAAAATGCTATAGAATTTTTCGCATTAAATGGGATTTTTTATCGATTTTTTTTTACATTAGACAGCAACCGAACATCCTATAAATAGCGAGAGGGAGTAGAACATTTTGATCTTTGCTGTTATTATTTGTGAGAAATTCTGTAATTTATCTCGAACGTATTTAATTGTAATGATTTCTGGGGAGGGCAAAAACTGCAAAACGTTACACTCAGGCCAATAGAGAGGTTGCGGCCGAAGTTTTCATCTCTCAAACGTGAACGTCGAGGGCCGCTTACAAGATAGCGGCACTCGACGTTCGACGTTCACGTTTGAGAGATGAAAACTTCGGCCGCAACCTCTCTAATATCGGGCCTTGTATGTAAGTTGATCGATATCTTTTACGTATTGCTGTACAACTACAGTTGTACGTAAACGCCTTATACATCGAGAGAATGTTTTACTAGATTTATTTTCCGAAATATTATTACGAATTAGCTTTACGCGGATCCGAGAAAATCGAAATTTCGTGACGTGTTAAACGATTTTCGTTCGTAGGTCCCGACATTTTTTCGTGAAAGTCAAGTATGTCGTAAGCATTCAGCGCACGACCGTCAAATTACGTAATGCGCGTAATCGAAAGTTTAAGAAAGTGAAAATTCAAATTACAGTATTTGAAATTTCGACTTGATTTTTTTTTTTTTGTAGTCACGAAATTTCGATCTTCTCCTCCTACGTCAGAATTTTTATAACTTTTTAAGCCTTTTCTTAAATGATGATAATAGCAATAAATTGTTATAATTTTAATTAAGGGTTTAAAAAACTAAAAAAAAAATGCATAGTTTGTCGCTCCAATGAGTGTAAGTGGAATCGAATCGTTTATCGATTTTGCTTTGGTGACTTATGGCCTTGGACCAAGCCCTTCAATTAATTAATTAATTAATCAATCATTAAAGCTTTTTAAATGATCCACAATCTATAAAATAGTATTTAGATGAACAATTTACTACTAACCGACTATAAAAATCAGATTTAAATTAGCGTGCTTATTCGTGACAACGTTCGTTCTAGCCGCATTAGCATATTTATTTAAAAATTTAAAAAAAATCCGCCATTTTTATTTTTATGAGCCTTGTTGTTTAACGAATTTTAAGTAAATATGCTATGCAAAATTTAAGGAGGATAATTTTTAAGTAGAAATTTTAGACAGTAATTTTCGAGAAACGTTGTAGATCAGGCCAAGTGCCGCTACCTCTACAACGTTTCACGAGCTGTCGTGAGGGTAAAAAATGATTTTTTTAACAATAGATTTTAGTATTAGATGCCCTCAAATTGTGAAAAGAAAGAAGAAAAATCGATGCTGAAAATTTCTTTAACGACAATTCCTTTATTTATATACAAAGCGTGTGTAGACGAGACAACCGATACCATTGCGTGACGTGACGTCTGTTAACTATGACGTATTAATCTACTACACCTACCGCTGTTTGCACGGGTGTGTGTCGGTTTTATTTTTTTTATTTTTGCCTCCTTAAAATTCTGCAAATATAATTTTAATATATTAAAGCGTGGCACGGAATTCTTTTAACACATTTCTCGCAGCCGCGTTTAAAATATGGAAATCGTCAATTGAATCTACAAAATGCATAATAATAATAATAATAATAAAATATTCTCGATATACAACGTTTTAATATCTTACAAAATAACGAAAATTGTATACGGTTCTCTTAGTGAATTATTATAATTATGTAACTATAAAATTATTTATTGTTAGAGAAATTTTGAATACTTTATGGGTGAATATATAGATGATAAAATCGTATTAAGTGATGATAAAATTCAGATGATGATAGCCTGTAGGAGACTTTCTACGCTATCAAGAAGGGTTGTTACTTTTATTATTATTATTAACAATAACTTTATTGTTTCTAACGATTTAATTTATCTTCTTCTCCTTAAACAATTATCGTATATATATATATATTATATATTTCCCACTTCGTTCTTCAATAAATATAAATACAAGTTTATTCTAAAACGAAATTTTGATAATTATTGGATATTTGTTTGTTGTTGTACTTAACAGAGTATCATTCTCATTGCCTTCAAGTATACAGTACAATTAATTACTGGATTAAGTCGAAATCTTTGTTGATAAAATCAAAAAAAATGTAGGTGAATTGTATGCAGAAATTCTGTGATACTGTATATTTTTAGGTAATGATACCAACTTGTTTTATAATGCGAATGGTAAATTTGAATGATGATTTTTATCGAAACTTTGTATACTCATATTTACTCGATATATATATACATACATATATATATAAATATAAAAAGAAATGTTGTTTATTATTCAGTTTTTTTTTTTGCAGCTTCTGATTTATTTCAATATTCACGACACGCTTTATAAATCGAGGGGAAATGTGTAATTTCTGTGGTACCATACGTGATATACCGCATAAAATACAGCGAAACCTATCTAAGCGGGAAAAATTTCTTCGGAACCCAGCGATTTTCGGTGTTTAAAAAAAAAAAAAAAAAAAAAAAAAAAACCTGTTCGGAAGGGAACCTGCCAAACCGGAAAAATATTCGGTACGGTGTAGGTACGGTTTACACGGGTTTTACTGTATATATATATGTATTCAACAGTACCGCAACAACGATGGCTTGTCAATCAATCGATTTTTCTTAAGATAGTAAGTAATTTGTTCGATATTTTACAAAATGCGAAACTTTCCGATTAAATTAGCCGAAATTTTCTAATCTCGAAGGAAATTGGAAAAGATAAGAGAACGTAAAATAGAAAATAATTGTTGATAATCGTCTTTTCTTGCATTACATAAAGCTTAAAAGTATAGAGCGTGAAGGACAGAACTCGTATTTAGCCTCGTTTAAGCCTTTTACGTTGTTTGCCGACCCTTGTAAACGAGGAGATGGCGTATTGTCAGATAAAGAAATGAAATCAAAGTATTATCGGGAAGACCTTTCGCTTATTTATCTTTACAAACAAAGAAAAAAATATTTAATGACGTTAATTGAATGCTTAGAAAATTACGTGTTTGTAAATCCTTCGACCGTAATATACTCTATTTTTCGGGTTGACTTCACGCATTAATTACAATAACTCGTACATTATTTCCATACATTTACCTTTTCGTCTCGTCCATCAATAATAGTTCCTTCGAGACGGATCAATGTTCAATCAAAGTACATATCTTATCTGCGTTTTAAATTACACAAGACGAAATTATTGCATAAAGTAGGACTGATGTGACATTTACACCGTAACTTAATCAATATTAAATTATCGATTGTAGTTTTTCTCCTCGATCTTTATAAATGTTACAGGGGACGGGCCAACGTCAGTAAGAAAAATTTCTCATTCTCGGGTTTCGAGTGGACACACAAAACAAGATGTGTTTGTTGTGTACTGCACTCGTTTCTGCTTTTTATTTTTGTCGCGTGATATAAAATAAAAGTAACGCTGGTAGGAATAGTTTACTAGTTCAAAATTAGCTGGAAAGGAACAGTTTGATGGTTGAACCAGCAAACTGTTTCCTCCCACTATTGAACGTCCCCTATGCCCCATAAAGACGACGCCCAAGCATGAGAGAGACTATAATCCGCCATTATACAGAAGAAAAAAAAAATGTGAATAATTTACAAAACTTTCAATGATTATGCAAAAATATGTTATTTTACGCAATAAATTTTTTCTTATATAAAATATAATTTCCTTTAGTTTGAATAAAATATAATTATGTAACACATTTCTGCAAGAGAATAAATTATTGTATAATAATTACGCCCTCGATTGCCATTACCCCCTTTTTTTTCTGTATCGTAAAACAGTTCGTAACACCGACCTTAACAATAAATCGGGATTTCAAGGCCAAACTTACAGTAGATAATGAAGTGTGAAAAAAACCGACGTGGTTATTGCTTATCTTTGATATTTCTCGATTGTACAATCTCGACAACTAAATTCTTTATCGATTATGCAAAAAGAAAAATAAACATTAGCAATCAGAGGACCGCTCCTATCTTAGTTAGATAGACCAGAGCGGTCATATGATTACCATAATCATTATGAATTTAGGACTCACCGAAAGCATTTATGATAAATCCAATATTGTTGAAACGTATACAAAATGTGGAAATCGAGGAATTGCCACACACTTTCCAAAATTCTTGCGTTTAAAGGTCGAAAGGTCATACTTAAAGTGTCTATCCCTAATTAAAAATAAATAAATTAATAATAATAGAGAAATTATATATATATATAAAAGTGGAAATTATTAAATTTAGCTGGTAATTTTTATATATTTATGTTTAATGTAAAATGGCCTTATTAACCCTGAAGATTATTATAAATTAATAATTATTTTACTATAATATTATAATTCTTTAATTAATATACCAGTAAAAATAATTATATAAATGAATCAAATATGGGGCATAATTTCGGCTAACGATCCAATTTATTTATTTATTTTTATTTTTTTTACTCCATTAACGAGTACTAAAAAAAATGTAATTCGATATTTTTCAAAATGGCGGCGATTAATTAATTAACGCGCGACATACATTAATTGCATAATAATTAATGGAAATTTGTAAATAATATAAACTAATTACGCAACGGATATTTAGCTTATTTAATAAACTAACCATTAACGAAACAGAAAAAGATAAAGTATGTGGAAGAAAACACAAGAAAAAAATAACAATAATAAAAAATTTTGACACGGAGCAAAATACGCATCCATTATTAATAAAATTATAATATTTCTTCTGCGTTTCCGTCGATAATCACGTGATTCGTCGTTTGGCGCCGCGCGATTGGCCATTCCAGCCCACGTGACCGGCCGTGCATGTGAACAGTGCGTGTACCTCCGACCAATAAAAGGCGACGAGCCAGACGATATAAAAACCTGCCGCTAGAGGCGTTCCGTCTTTCTACGTTTTACCGAGAGAAGAGTGGTCGTCCAAATCCGTGCGAAAAAAAAAAGAAACTATATTTATATATAATTAAATAGGAGAGAGAAAAAATAACTCAAATAAATCAAGATAAATATTGAATGGATCTTAGCATCGACAGTTCTCTGGTGGTGGAAAACGCTGGAACGAGCCAATGGCTGGACGGTTTCTGTCAGTCTAACCGTAATTCCGTCGACGGTAAATGGCAAGAGTTAGAAGAGTATTGGGGAGCCGAAAAATATCGTCTGCAGTTAGAATTACAACTCCAAACACTTTCTAGCAGCCTCGAGCACCAATTACTCTTCGAAGATTACCTGAAACAACCCTCCGAAGTTCAAGAAGATCAGGTGAGAAGAATGGCGCCTCACGCCAGACAGGTGGCGCCCTGGTCGACTTCCGTGTAAATAAAATGTTTTGTTTATATTGTAGGAAAACAATTACATCCACCTCACCGATAGTTCTTACGTCGTTCGTGGAGAAGATATCAAAGATATTCCCACCAGTTATGTCATTAAAGGCCTCGAAGATTATGAATTTCCAGTCGTCGGTGAGTCGATTTTCTTTATTATATACAGTGGTACCTCAGGATACGAAATTAATCCGTTCCGAAACTGAGATCGTATCATGAAAATGTCGTAAGGTGGATCATCTTTTCCCATACGATTACATGTAAAACCAAATAATTCGTTCCAACGCGAAAAACATACTCAAATTAAAGCCAAGTAATACATTAAAAAAAATAACTGTAGTAAGAAAAACAAATGAAAAATGCGAACTAATTTAACGTCGTATGGTGAGTTTTTGTTCGTATCGTGGAGCAAAAATATGTTTGAATTTCATGTCGTATCCTGAAAATTTCGTATGCTGGGGCGTTCGTAACCTGAGGTACCACTGTATATATAATAAAGTTAAATTACGGTACAAATACACTATCGCCATTTTAATGCAGATACACACCTGAAAACAATTGTAACGGGATAATTTTGTTTGTTTTTAAACCGTAAGAATGTGAGGACGGTTCATTGGCGTTTATCGAATGAGTAATTTTATTCATTGGTAAACGAGAATTGTGTTTACATTCTGACTCGCCTTTCTAATTAGTTACAGACACTACTAACTACACATTTATGTTTACATTACAGTCATGTTATTTGGTTAATATGGAGGCAAAATTTCCTGTTGTTGTAAATCAAGGGGACGGGTGGAAAAACGGCATATCACATGTTAAGGAGGTATTCGATTCCATCCGTACCGGCAGTTTAATACGGGTGTAAGACCTGTGGGCACTCTTCCGAATAGTGAAACTTTCTTAAGAGGGACGGAGATGTACTGTACAGTACAAACCCAAATTTGTTTTATATTATTGTGAAACGACGAGGGGTGGTTTTTTTGTATCAATTAACATAAACACTGTAATAGTGTGGTGGAGATTACGGGATGATCTCAATCACACTAGTGTTTATATTAATCGATCCAAATCTGTTTTTACGCCTTCACCCTGCCCCCGGCGGTTGGAGTTTGGCTCCACCGAAGCGGCCATTTTTCTATTGTACACACAGGGTGGTAAAGTAGAACACGTTGTTTACACGATTTTTTTTGTTTCTCCCCGGAGGTACGTACGTGGACAGGAGAGTGGTACCGGGTTTCCGCTACCGGGTGCGTCTGAACCACAGCAAGACTCGGCTGTTCGGCGGAGAGGCATTGACTCTGAAATCCGTGGGAATGGGATATGGAAAACGTGTAGTGTTCGAAGACAAAAAGCCATTTTTGATCGATAACTACTTCTGGTCCGACACTCATTCGGACGGTTACGGATTTTCGTTGGTTGCCGTGGAGGAGGGCGACCGTTTCGACATCAGACAGACGGACAACGGGGCCAGCCTGGGCACCGTCCAAGTAGTCGACTGTCAAGGGGGACAGCGAGAAATTCGCATGAAAATTAACGAAGACGGGACTGTAGAGAAAACCGTCGAAGTGGAGTTCTGGGTTAACGTCGACTCTTCTCTGTGCAGCGATTCTTGTTACAGAGTTTTGGGAGAAGTTTTGTTAGTCAAGTCGAAGAAGTGTCCTTCCGCTAAAGTGGTAAGAGTTTGCTTGAACGATTTCGTCCTCAAGAACTGCTCTTTCTATCCCTTGTAAAAAAACAGTTCGGTTGATTTGTTCCTGTATACACGACACCCGTTCTGTTAAACATGTACTGTACAATAGAATTAATAAAGTGTCCGTTAAGTTCTGCAAATTTTCTCTCTCTCTCCTCGATCGGATTTATCTCCCGACGTCACACTAACGTTTTATCGATTGGTCTTCGCAAAAATGCACTTTTAAATTGATTTTTACACCGAAAATTGACGGCTTAAAAAGAAAATAATTCGGAATTCCTTTAGCTTTTCATTTAACGACTCGTTAAACGTTTTTTTCTTTAAAATTTAACGTGTAAGTTGAAGTCAATTCTTATTAAATAGGATTAAATTATGGCGAAAACTAAAAGGAGAGTAAATATTAATCGAAAGTTAACGAGTCAAATATCAGGTATTTATAAATAATTTCATTAATGTTTATTATTATTACGGTATATGTTTGAAGAGTTCGACAAATTCTATAACCGCTAGCAATTTTAGTTTTCTAGATTTATAATTTTTATTTAAATTGTTATTAATTAGATATAAATTGTAATACAGTAACGTCGATTCAGAAATATACCAAACCGTGATTGTACATTTTAATTTTTCCTTGTTAAATTAAAAAATAAAAACTAAAATTGTAAAAACAATCAAATTTCAGAAGGAAATAATTACAAAAAAAATTGTCGGTTAATAAAATTCAAACGCCGGAAATCAATCATCGTAGTATATAACTACAGTAAATATAAATAACACAGTAACTATTCAATAATATCGGTAGAGACTTTTACGCCGGACCACATGACGTGTCAAACAAAAGTCAATGGCTGCACTGGACACAGTCAATAGTTGTAACCGAGCAAAGGTGTTACGTAATTTCATCTGTTGAATGACGAGTGACGTATACGTTGGAACGGGAAGTAGCATTCATCGATCAGTTGCAGCTAGCGATGGAAGAAGCTACCAAACGTGACGTCAAAACACCAAACATGTTCCGAAACAAACTAATGTAGAAGGCTAGAAAAATACTCAACGACTCCGGAACCGTCGAGTTTTCTGAACGCAACCATTATAACTTGTTTGAATAATCTTCCACCTATCATAAATTCCAAACAAAAATGGGTACTGTTGTAGCCCACATTGAAAAAGTCGAACATCGATCCTTATCTCTATTTCCTTCCTCTCTTCCGAGAACGTATACCAATTTCGCAAGACCTCATACTACTACAGTGTTCGATCGATCTTGATGAACAATAGAGAATGATCGAATGGTTTCTTAACGTTTCTGCTATGGATTAGAGTCACCACTTCGAGTTTGATCCACACTTAAGGATTTTCAAGGCTCGCCTCCTGGTTCGGGTTTGTGAAATTATATTTCACGATTTAAAAATTATTCGAATTTCCGATATTACAAGCTCCATTTGTGGATAATTTCGACGTTTCCAGGTAGAAACAGTGACACAAACGGATTCTGCCGAATATCGAAAGTTCACAATCGCGCTTTCGGTACTCGAACTCGTTTTTTTACATGTAGCCTATTGCCCCTTGTTGGTAGACTTGTCGTGGCACTATGATGTAAATCGACAGAAGTTATACTTCTCTCTCTCTCTTTTCTTTCCACAATCCTTTGCGTTCTTCGAGGTGGAGACCGAAGAAACAGCAGAATTATCGAAGTTTGAACGCTTATAAGAAGAGAATTATAGTGTATTTTCATAAGTCGTGTATTCGACAAACACACAACTTACTCAAAAAAAAAATATGGATCTCGATTTCTTTGGGAAAAAATTCACTGGAAATATGGAGTGCGTTTTTGAAAGATCTTATACAAATAAACATTCTTAAAATTAATGAAAAATATTGTATTTATAACCAATTTTCCGTAATACCAAACAGACTGCACATAACATAAATACTTAGTTAATTTATTAACATGAAAAATGGCATCTTCAAGCTATCATAGTGCTAATCAAACTCTCTAAAATCATATACTGAAACCCTAAATGTAACAAAAACACTTGAGTTCCTAAGGAAATCATTTAAATTATTGTATGGTAGCTTAGTTTTCGTTTCATTAATCGGTGGATTTATATCAAAATTCCTGCATGTAATAATAATACAGAAATGTATTTGTGTGTGTGTTATACCAAGAAATTACAAGAAAAGCTTGCTAATGTATGGTTTCGAGCTCCACGAACGTCATCTCCTTAGTTACGCCGCTAACATTCGAATGCAATTTATTTGACTATTTAGATTCCGATTATCACAACATACGCATTCGGAAATGATGAAAATAATGTTAATGGATAAATAACGTTACGTCAATATGTGAACATAGTAAATGAAATTAATCTGACGACAGCCGTGTGTTACAATGGTATCGTTAACATAGCAGTGTTACGTTGTGTCACTTACAGAATTTTGGCTTTGGTTAGGCGATTTTGCTGCGAAACGTTGGCTGATTTTAACGTCACGAAACCTGTGCCACCTACGATACCAGCGAATGGGACATTAATCGTCTCCTCTGAGGACACCCTTGACGGGGGAAATTATTTCGAGGTAAGAATATTTTTATAATAATAATACGGATATGTAGATAAAGTTTATGGTTATTTTTTGTATAAATACCAGTCATAAAACTATATCTCGGCACGTGTTTAAGTTCTTTTGGGAGGAGTATAGCAAATGTGTCTCCTTAAACCACCTACGCTAACTAAAGCTACTTTATTGTAAAGATAAATCAATAAATAAATAATTTAGAAGGACGTAGTCGTTAACGGAGGAAGCGATTTTCGTTTGAAGAATGCTGTATGACGTGCTGGTCGCCGTGTTCGCCTCCCATTATCAATGCCGAACCCCCTCGTTACGTATTTAGTCACAAAGTTTTCGTATTGTTCAATTATGAATCCGTAAATAAAGCATACAAGATTATACATGCAGTACAGTATACAATTTGTGTGCATACAAGATCCGAAAGAGAGGAAATACGTTCCAGTCAGTTATATAGTAATAGAAAAATTGAAAAATATATGGCGATTTCGTGAAATATTTATAATTAAATGACCCGTTTCTGTTGTACAGATTCACTCTTTCAATATTAAAAATCCAGCAACGAGTTGAGTAACTTTCCCGGCAATAAAGTTAAAATTGTACGTGGCGCCATCTGTTACAGAAAGTTTTGAATTAGTAATAGAAGATTTTATTTAATTTTTTTGCCATTTTTATAATAATTTCGAGCTAGAGACGAGTTTTATATTATAAAAAAGAAACTTCTAAATGCTAATAAAGAGTAAAATTTCATTTAAGTCCGATACCACGCAGTGGCGTAGCGAGGGAGGGCAAGGGGTGGGTGTATCATGCACCGGGCGCCACTCGCAGAGGGGCACCCAAAAGGTCTCAAGACAAACTATATGTGTTTCTGGGGGCGCCAGTTATGTTCGCTACACCACCTGATACCACGATCCCTTCTCTCACTAACCCCTCGACCTTTAATCACCAAAATATAATAGCATCAATGCCTCTAAATATACAAAAACTCCCAACAAAATTTCAGAAATTTTCGACGAGACACGAGAGTTAAGTTTCAAAGTAGGTGAGAAAAATCCCCATACACTAACATCCATACAGGAAAAAAAAACCCAAATTTTTTTGCTTACTCGATGTTTCAAGTCTTCCCCGGAGTCTAAAATGTAGAACATCCTGGGGTAGGGGTCATTTCTGACCGATTGCCATACTTTCCCCTCTGTTATATACAACAGCAAGGGAAGTATGATGTGTTTTGACCCATCAAAAATAATTTAATTGTGTAAATTATTGACGATTTACTAGAAATTTAACCGTAATAAGGGAATTTAGTGTAACAAACACTACCGCTTGTGAACATACAAAAAAAAATAATAATAATGAATTAATTCTAGATTATTTGCTAATAATTCTGTATTTCGTAACTAGATAACCTATAAAATTTCGATATAACTTATCAACGAAATAGGGCATAATACTCTTTAATTCTAGAAAAACAGTACTCTGGACTGTGATTAATCGACACTGCAAATGTTAGGTTTATTATTCACAATTCACTTACTACAAAGCGATAGTAACACAATGTATGTAGGGAAATGACGAAATGTTATCTATATCTCTTAGTATCTATCAAACAATGGAAAAGAGACTACTACTTAAGCAAATAACAAGGGTATGGCGTCGATAAATTAAAGAAGTTTTAGTTGTTAGAGGGAACTCGATTAGTTTTAGGGGAATTTCGGGTCTGTTTAGGGGTTTTCGTGACGGGAGATTGGCAACATTGTAGAGTCGAGATCGTCATTGATAGTTTAACCGTACAAAATAATAATGACGCCGATCTTCTCTAATAAATCCCGTGTCTGCGTCTCGCAGTTTTTGGAATAATTCGAGTATATTTTCGTAAATTTATATCGGTTTGACGTCATTTTCTCATTGTAAAACTGAAGCGATGACGTCGAATTGCCACAACATCCCGATTCAGTTTTATTGTGTGTGGGGAAGATGCTCCTAAACTTCGAATGTGTGAAATGTGGTTTAAAAACATTTTAAACCACATTTTAAAAACATTTTAAACCAACAACATAACCGGAAAATTTTAAACTAAAGAATACAAAATGTAGGGGGGCGCCCAAAACTTGTGAATGAAAAAAAATTACAGGAAATTGTTGTTAAAAACGTATCGCTGTATATTAAATTTTAATTCTAGAGCCTTCGCCCGACCATCTTAAATAGCTTTACTTTAATGTCCGTTCCACCCGCGAGTTTCCAACAGAGCAATGGCGGATCACCTTCAGTAGCAAAGATATGGAACTGCTGTCTTTCATGGAACAGAATCGAGCCTTTCGCATTTCTCAACTCTTCCCGCGAAGTCCTGTATAAATTTCAAAAGGGATGGACGGGTTTTAATCCTAGTTTCTTAATTTTGTAAAAAACAAAAGAATACTTCACAGAAATGTCAATCGAACAATATTACTTTCTATATATTGAATCTACCTTAAAAATTCCCGGCTTTATTCGGGAGAGTGTGCATCTACTTCATGTACATNACTCCATTAACGAGTACTAAAAAAAATGTAATTCGATATTTTTCAAAATGGCGGCGATTAATTAATTAACGCGCGACATACATTAATTGCATAATAATTAATCGAAATTTGTAAATAATATAAACTAATTACGCAACGGATATTTAGCTTATTTAATAAACTAACCATTAATGAAACAGAAAAAGATAAAGTATGTGGAAGAAAACACAAGCAAAAAATAATAATAATAAAAAAAATTTGACACGGAGCAAAATACGCATCCATTATTAATAAAATTATAATATTTCTTCTGCGTTTCCGTCGATAATCACGTGATTCGTCGTTTGGCGCCGCGCGATTGGCCATTCCAGCCCACGTGACCGGCCGTGCATGTGAACAGTGCGTGTACCTCCGACCAATAAAAGGCGACGAGCCAGACGATATAAAAACCTGCCGCTAGAGGCGTTCCGTCTTTCTACGTTTTACCGAGAGAAGAGTGGTCGTCCAAATCCGTGCGAAAAAAAAAAGAAACTATATTTATATATAATTAAATAGGAGAGAGAAAAAATAACTCAAATAAATCAAGATAAATATTGAATGGATCTTAGCATCGACAGTTCTCTGGTGGTGGAAAACGCTGGAACGAGCCAATGGCTGGACGGTTTCTGTCAGTCTAACCGTAATTCCGTCGACGGTAAATGGCAAGAGTTAGAAGAGTATTGGGGAGCCGAAAAATATCGTCTGCAGTTAGAATTACAACTCCAAACACTTTCTAGCAGCCTCGAGCACCAATTACTCTTCGAAGATTACCTGAAACAACCCTCCGAAGTTCAAGAAGATCAGGTGAGAAGAATGGCGCCTCACGCCAGACAGGTGGCGCCCTGGTCGACTTCCGTGTAAATAAAATGTTTTGTTTATATTGTAGGAAAACAATTACATCCACCTCACCGATAGTTCTTACGTCGTTCGTGGAGAAGATATCAAAGATATTCCCACCAGTTATGTCATTAAAGGCCTCGAAGATTATGAATTTCCAGTCGTCGGTGAGTCGATTTTCTTTATTATATACAGTGGTACCTCAGGATACGAAATTAATCCGTTCCGAAACTGAGATCGTATCATGAAAATGTCGTNAAAAATACAATTAGTATTATTTTATGCTTAATAAACAGAAAACTCCCAGTGTTCAGCCCATTCGGGAGAGATGCAAACCCATGACCAAACTCCCAGTGTTCAGGGAACAGAACTGCTTGGTTCTACTGGTGAGCCTAAAGGAAAGAGTAATCAAGAAGTTTACTGAGAACAACTATATTTATAGAAATTGTTTTCTTATTACCTACAAAGTATTTCAAATTATGAACAAAAAAAGGTCTAGAGTCTAAATACTTTGGCATAAAGTTCCTATTTAACAACATTACATATATCTACTTATTCATCCTCTACTATTTACATATATTCTTTATATTTTCAAATTTCTATTTAACTACATTAATTAACTTTACAATTGCTAAAAAATGCAGGAATGCCTTACGTAATACAGTTAATAATTCCAAAATGTTACCACACTAAGTGAATCTGCATTAATTGGGGAATATATTTAATAGGCAAAATGACAGTTCATCAGAAAAAGAATTTTTATACTTAGATCATTCTGCAGTAGTAAGAACTGAGAACTGGGTTTATATTAATATCTAGTACACTCACCAAGCCAGAAAATCCAGTAGTATTAAAAAAAACTTTATAAAAACAAAAGTTTTCAACAAACTTAACCTTTCAACAGTGGACTAATCGGATATGGTTCTAACCCCAGTAGTGGAGAATAAATGTAGGAAATTTTTAAAGTATTTTTCCATGCGTTTTTTTCTCATTACTGTTTCGGAAAAAGATTTTGTAAACAGTTATGTCTAGTAAAGAAAAGTCTTTTTTTATTGTTACATAATTCATTTTTTATGTGAATTTTTTTTCGCAGTAGTTTTAGGCTAGTTTTTGGCGATACCCCCAAAAGAATTTGACAACTATAGTCGTTGCTTACTGCTGAGTGTTTAAATCATCGTCTTCAGGTTAAAAAGGAATTTGGAAGATAGAACACAGTTTGAAGAAACAAATACTATTATTATTAGTTGCCTCTGATATGTGATCGACGATGTCAAACTAAGTTTTTGGGATGACGAAATAAAGATCTCATGCATGGGAGAAAGTCTTTCCTCCCTAAAATTCCCTTTTTGTTAGAAAATGATGAATGATAATTTAAGTTTGTCAAAAATGTTTGTTTTTATAAAGTTTATTCTTAAATACTGTTGGATTTTCTGGTTTGGTGAATGTCTTTGATACTTAAAAATTAATTAGAGCCGATTCAACTCATAAAATCCATAAAGATACTATTGAATGATATTTCTGAAATGCTGCTGTCAATGATCTCATAACTACTGTTTATAAATCACAATAATTATTATTGCTATTTATCTTTTGAGCACTATTGTACTGTTTAATTAATTATACACAGCATAATACTTAACAATATTTCAACAAAGATAAATTTGTATAAATATTTATTAAAAGTTAACATTATAAAATATCTACAATAAATAATTTTAAATTCTAAATATCATTGTTTTAGATCTATATTAGAACATCAATTACTATATTTTTCAAATTAATTATATATATATATATATAAAAGAATACTCAATGTATCAATGTATAACAGTTAATACATTGCTTAACTATTTTATTTTGAAACAAAACTAAATTAAAGCTTGTGATTTATACAGTTCCATTCCAGTCTTAAGATAAATTGATATATAATTTCTACTAAATTATGAAGCAATTATAATGCAATGTATTCCTATTATCATTATTATATAATTATGACTGACATTTTGAAATGTACCATTTTATCTAGAAAGAAGTCCATAAAACCATTCCTTATCTTTTTAAAGAAGGTAATTCTTATATTAGAGTTAGGATTATGGATTCTTATACAATAGAAGCCACTTATTGTAATCATTTTGGGACTTATCTATATTGATAATATTGAGCTGAGTCACATGTAATGTTTTTTCTAAGCATTGTTTTCATGCCATAGTATAACTTTATTATAAACCAATCAGGGTTGAAGTGCTAATTTGTTAATTACATAGTAATTTTTGATTATTTTTAAGAAATTTATTAGTGTCAATCAAAATGAACTTCTTGGAATTAAATTTAAGGCATGTAGCATTATATAAATTTAGAAAAGCCAACACTATGGTTACTGTGACAAACAATGTAGTATGAATGGCAGTGAAGCTTTAAATGTCGGCATTTGTTCAAAAGTTTAAGGATGGGGATTTCAATCTTGAAAACAAGTCTGCACTGTACTACCTTCTGGCTTAAAAAATGCTGCAGTAGCCCCTACAAATTAGTACCACTTTCAACCACTTCATAATAGTCTTAATGAAAAAGTTTTAAATTAAAAGAATCCATCTGTAAGTGCACAATGTTTTTTGAATCAAAATCTGACAATTTTTATAAGAAAGGCATCAAGAAACTTGTTAAATCAATGGAAAAATATCATATTTAGTAAAGGACATTAAAAAAAATACCTTTGAGAATGAACCGTATGAGCAGTCAATGTGATTATTAATGGAAGCCAACACCAGAGTTATTCGCTTGGCTAATCAAAAAGCCCAGAGAATGCAAAAGCATCATAAAAAAAATCTAATGGATTCTCAAATATCAAAATCCAAGACAACAGGCAATTAATATAGGTTCAATCACATGTTGGGACAATCTCAACCCTCCAAAATGCACAATAGAAAGAAGCAGTAAAATATGGCCTTACGTTAGGGTGACCAGACATACCCGATTTCTGGGGATCGTCGCCAGTTTTGCATTTTCAGTATTGAATTGTACAATCAATCTTTGAATACAACAATTTTATTAACATGTCAATATTAAAATCACCAATTTATAGATCAATAAATAAATAAATTTTAAAAAATAGCTAAGTTCAAACAGTTTTAGACTGCATTTTCCCTGATTCTGAAATATGACTCCAGTTGGATTGTAAATGTTATGGTCAGCCGATGTAAGTACCATCACCAAATAAAAAATTTGAAATCATCATCCTGGAGATAAAACAAACTATAGAAATACTTACAGTGCAGAAGGAGACCTTCAGATGGAAAAATGTTGTGCAAAATGTCGTGCAAAAAAGTATATTGAAATAATTATTTTTAAAATTGCATTATTGTACTTCCTTCATAACTACTTTTTTAAAAATAGAGACTATTTATCAATCAATCCCCATGCATATTTTTCTAATAAAATATTTTATAACGATCATTATGACGTTCTGAACAGATTGTTTAAATGAAATTACATGTAAACTGTAAAATTTAACCTCCATTCATCCTATATTTAAGTAAAAAAATCATTACTATAAACGTTTGTATAATTTTGACAACGTTATGCAATTTTTACTTAGTTTATATTTACTTTAAAAATGTTCTATACAATTTTGTTAAAAAATTTCTATAAAAACATAGAACTTAAATCAAACATTTTATTATCAATCCCATTTTACATAATATCTCAGTTCACTGACATTTTGTGACACAAATTATGCTTTAATTTTCAGAGGCATTATCTGTATTTCCATGTGCTTTAAAATTATGTTTCTTTTTCAGTCGTTTTTTTTGGGAGGAAAACGTTGCATTTTCTTGTAAAGGTCTTTCCTCTTCATAATTAATTTTGTTTTTTTGTGAAAATTTCTGTTTGTTTGCTATTTTCTTATGTTTCTTTATAGAAGAACAATTTACTTGTTTATTTAGTATCTGATCCTCTGAAATCTTTCTGGAAATGACAGGCATTGAAGTTTTCATACTTGACTGTTCTTCAAATGGGGAGAATGTTTCTTCTTTTTTAAAATGTTTCTTACTTTTGGGTTTAAAATGAATGTTTGATTCTTGTCTATGAACCTCTATAAAATTTTCATTTGTTTCTTCAGATGAATTATCTTCAGAATCACATTCATCCTCATCTTCGTCCTCATCTTCATTTTTAGATCTACTTTTCCCTAAAACAGGAACAGAGTCTTCTAATAAATTACTTTGCATTTTGAAGTTACTTTTTATGCCTTTTGATGTTTTATCCTTTTTGGCATGTTTCTTCTTCTTGTTTACTTTCTGTGGAACCCATTCTTCATTGCTCGAACTGTCTGAATCTTCCTCTACCTGCATTAACTTACTGTAATAATCGTCATCGCCATCATCGTACATGTTTTCGTCATCATATGATGTTTCACATTCGTCTTGAGAGTCTTCTTGATATGAATCATCGTTGACTTCTTGTCTTTCGTCAGTCACGTAGCCAGTAAGATGAACAATACCTTCACCACTTAAAAAAAAGCTCACTTCTTCTCCCTCTACAAAAACAAGATCTAAAGGAACTTGCATTACTCTATCATGCTCTAATGTACATAGAAGAAACTCGGATTTTCCATGTTCAATCATAACAGAAACATATTTATTTGATTTCTCCACTTCTTTACTCATGGGTTCGAGTGCAGCCATAGACAAATGATACGACGATTCCACAACTTGGGAATATCGTTTTCCACTTTCTAATGTAACTCCCCAAAACATTTTAATGTGTGCGTATTGTAGTATACCTTACAGGAAATCTGAAACGGAAAAAAAAAACTTAATAATCGTGTTTAAATATATTTGAGTTACTAATTGCAAAATTTCATAAATTATATAAGCCAATTTAATTAATATCAAATGATTGTCCCGAGGCAGCGTTGTGTGTAATTTGTCTGACTATATCTAAATTAATGGTTCTGAAAGTGAAAATTAGATGGAGATCTGGGTAGTGTAATTGGTAACACATTTGCACGGTAAGTGGAAGTTGCAGGTTCATCCTGCTCCAGCCCACACTTTTCTTCCAGAAATTTTTAAATTAAAAGTTATTATAATTAATACAAGATAGTTGCATATCCATTCACCTCTAGTAAATTAGTAACTAATCATTAATGTAACCCAAAAACAGTCCGCTAACTCGGCAGATCATTTGACATTTACAAAATTATTTCTAAACCAATAATTATCGTAACTTAGGGTGAATAGAAACCAAATTTAAAGAAAATTCTGTATGCTATTAACAAAGAAACTAACCAACAAATTGAGAATTTATCAATGTTATCTCTGTATTTTTTTTAATGATAGCACCATTGTTCTGAATGTCAATCTTATTTATGTGTTACAATGGTTGGCTATATACTTTCAATGTAAGAAAAACTGCAGGTGTTTTATTAAAAGATTTACTACATTAAAAAATTATATTAGAGTATTGTCCTAGCATTTCATTAAAATTTCATTGAAAACTTTAATATTTTGAATGCTTTTTTATCATCAATGATCTCTTTTTTTTGCAGTGTAATGATTCTGAATCTGTGGGGGTGAATGCCACAATGCTGGGCTGAAATTTTTTATCTGATTTTAATTTTAAAAATTATGACTTCTTGTCTAGACCAGAAGTTCATATATAGTTAATTGGAGCCTCTGGCCCCTAAGCTTTCCATATCTAGTCTCAATTTTCATCTAACTCCATTCTCAAAATTAACAAAGGACATACAGATGGATGGAAACATGTGTGACAGTGGGTACATACAGGTCTGCAATTTGAAATCTGCAGCCCAATGAAAATGACTATTTCTATTTGTCCCATGCAACTTTTTCAATACAAGTGGTTTAAAATTTGAAGTAACTAAATAGATCTATTTGTATGTTCCAATATGTAACATGGATGTTGATTTATTTTAGTTAGGACACTTCTCTGAAATTTTGTGATTTTTCTCCAGCAGACTGTGCATTGCCAGTCTGTCAAATTGATGATGGTGGATATATGGCGCTCTTCTACCAAACACTACAGATGAGTTTTTGAAGATATGTGAGGAATCTTACTTTGTGTATGGGGATGTTGTTAGGAAACTATGCTCCCCTTACTATCTCTTCATTATACCTAAAAAACATTGTCAATTTTCCTGACAACTTCAACAACTTAAGTATTTTTTTTAAAAGCTCTTTCATTTTTATCCATTTAATCAGTTTTTCAAACTACCCAATAGAGTAGTTTGTTTTGTAAAAGTTCATTTTTCTTTCTGTATAAATTCTGTAATGGAGAAAATATAAGGCCTAAGTAACTAAACAGACATTTTTTACAAAGAAAAAGCATTTCTTTTACCTCTCCAGTTGTAAAATAGAAACAAAACATGACTTTTAAGTTACTGTTTCTTTTTACTTTATGGATAGGAGTGAAAAGAAACATCAAGTAAAAATAAAAAGAAAAAACTATTAAAGTTATTAAGGAAAATGTGACCAATTTTTATGAAACTTAAGAAGTCACATCATTGATATTATTGAAGTTACATAATCATTTAGACAGAAAAGTGTTTCTATTCACCCCAAATTACAATATCTAATATGGTAAATTTTCAATTAACATTCTCATACTCATAATACTTTATAATTTTACACAGTTTGTTTCTCATAAGTTTAACATAATTTTTGCAAATTAGTTACACAAGAACTAGTTACATGATGAGTAAAAGGTCGTCATGCTCTCCTCAAAAGATCAAATACCATTAAAATTTGGCAAAACATCTTTGCTGGAAAGGGACTTGAATCCACAATTTGATACACTAACTTGGAATCGTTAATTAATAAACAAACTGTCACTGGATTGACAGAATTTGTTAAGTGATTGCCTTTATTTATTTCTAGATTTTGTGGCAGTTTGAAAAATAATTATCTGTTAAATATTAAAAAGAAAACTAAACTATCTTTTAATATAAAACAAAACTTGAATATTAAAGTGTCGTATTTATTTTGCATTAACGTTTTTAAAGCTTAAAATATATAAATTCAAAATAAACAAGACCTATCTAATATATCAGTTATTTATCATTATCAGATATTGAATAATGACAGAAATTATTTCTAAAAAATAAATTGCAATAAAAAATTTATTGTAATTTGTGAATACGCATACTAAATCATGAGACTAGGAATCATTACAATTAGACAACAAGTCTTCCTATTGAATAACTGTAATCACAAGAGCCTGACTGCCTGAGATCAGTTCACTAATTCATCTTTCAAATATTTTCATTCTCAAGGAAATTCAAAATTGTGCTCTATGCAGATAAACATTATTGTCCACGGAAAGAAAATAGAGTCCAATAGTATCCCGAAAAGGCCTTATATTAATTTTAAAAGATCTAATCTTTAATCTCAATCAGATTGCTTTCTGTAAACAAATGTATCCATTTGATTCACAACTGTCTTCTAATAATTGGAACTACACCTGACATACTACTCAACAAAAAATGCTGTGTCCTAGTTATAGTTTCACTTAACTGGGACATACCACTTTTTGTTGAATATTGTGTCATATCTATTCAATATAAAGCCACTACATATCAATATTATTACTACCACCAAAAGCAATTTTCTGATTGATATTGAAAAATAACTACATATCTCCTACTCTCACCAAATGAATGTATATCAATAATGAGTTTAAACTGAGTTATCTGTAAAAAAACATAGGCTCATCAATCTGTTCCAGTAACAACTAGCAACAGTACATTTATCAGTTCAAACAAGAGAAAAATTGAAGAGGACAAACTCATTTCATGTTCTTGATGTTCTTACCCACTCTCTTATTAGATCAATAATATATATAATCAGCTCCAAAACAGTTGTCAGCATCTCACAATTAAGGTAACTGTTATCACAAGTTATTCTTAGACAACAGTGCTCGAGAATTCTTAACTAATCACAAATTGTTATCATAATCTTAAAACCAAGCCTTTGAGATATAGCTGAAATTAATTACTTATTTTTGTATGACCCTATCTTATTAAATTAAATTAACTAAATATACAGAAGACGAAAAGTGATAAAAATATAGATTTAGTTTAGAAGTCGGCAAAAACATTATTTTTACATTTCTATATTCCAGAGAACTTGGCACTGTATCTGTAGAATAATTCAGATCGACCAATTGAGGAAACCAAAAACTTTATTAATAGAATGTTTTTGACTGCATACGAGTAACTTTCGGAACAAAATCTTTGCAGGGGAGAACGCAATATAGAACAAACATTTTTTGAATCTGATGCCGAAAGCACGTGTGAAAACAACTGAAACCTTCAATCATAAACATTTATGCAGCAACTATAATAAAAATTAAATAAAATAATACAAATTAATAAATCTAAAGTAAAAACAAATTTAAGATAACGTAAAACATAAAAACAGGCTTCTTCAGAGTAACACATGTATAAATTAATACAGGTCTTTTACTAGTTTTTTAACTATTTTCATAACATTATTTTATTTAGCAGTGACAGCCTCCTCCTACAAATATACAATATTTACAAAAAAAAAAAAAAACAAAATCAAACAACCAACAGAAACTTATAAACAACACATAACAATAAACTTTACCTACCCAAATGTTACAAAACCAAGAAATATTTTAAAAGACCAACTTCCTCTATGAACAAATTTAAACTGAAAAAAAAAAAAGAATTACCATGTAAAACTTAATATGAAAAATAAATATTCCTAAATTCTATCATCGCTATTTTTAAATCAAAAATAAAATAGGGTTTAATTTTTGGATGTTAATAATTACATACGAATACATACAAGACCTATAAAAATCAACATATGATCAAACTGATGTATCAGTGATTTTTTATTGATATCAATAAAAGTTTACTACTAAAATCTACATTCATTTTCTTTTATTTTCAAAGAGTTTGCTCACATTGCAATACTTTTAATAATATTAAAAAAAAATTCAAACACAAAAAACATTAGCATGGCCTCTATGTTACAAAATGGATGAAACTATTAATACATATGTAATTTCACACACTAAATTTNGTGTCTTTATTACATTAATTACTATTTCAGTATTGATTTAAGCATTTCTATTATTATTGTACAAACAAGGCTCGGTTTGGTTCATTTCCATTACGTGCAACGCGACATCTCGAACGTAGAAAGTGCAAAATATATATTTATTTTAAAACGTGCGTCATTTTATTTACGATCCGAAATTTTATCTGTAAAGAGGAGGAATTTATCTGCTGATAAAAGAAAATCTGCGTAAGGGAGGTGGTGTTATTCTACAGATAAGATTCCGGGAGGTAATATTCCGCCATATTTTCGAAAAAAAATGAAGTATTTCGTTGTAATATTGCTGGTGGTCGTGGTTTTCGCTTATTTCGTTCAATGCAAGAAACAATCGGAAAATAAAGGTAAAAAGGAACACAAAGATTCGAAGAGTAAGAAGAACGAAGGTTACGAATCGAAAGATAAAAACAGGTAAGCGCCTACCTATACTAAAATAGTATAGTTCGCGGGCACATGTTATTTGCAGGACGAGTTTATGTTACTAGAAATACCATTTCGACTGTTGAACCGTATAATAATACATACCGTTACCAGGATAGTTATACACATAATATCTATATTTTCCTCCCTTTTTGACTCTAAACTGAATCGTGTACTCCAAGATGGGCCCAAATCCCCCATCGTAGATGCATAGAAAGTAAAACAGTGGCCCGGCTTCACACCTTTATGCGTGAAGTAAAGGTTCGAATATTGAAGTCCGACATGAATTTTACAAAATTGTATCGATGCGTGCAAACAAAACCATGGTTTTAAAAGTTTTATAGCCCGAAGTAGAGGCAAACAAAAGATTCGATTGATGTCGGGTGTGGCAAATTCACGTTTTAGACCGGGAGGGTGGCAAACGTGGCACGAAACGTATCATACGATTTCGGTTTATTGCTAGATTCCAGATATGTCGGGCAACGTTCCATCGTGGGCCTGGCTAAAAAAGGCCTCTTAGTGGCAACGGGCCGAACAAGTTTTTAAAACTTTTCGATGGAAGATGATTTAAATAATTTTTTATATGATTTAAATTAATATCCTAAATAAAAAATAAGTAAATTAATTCGAAAATTTTAAAATAGAATTAGTATTTTATAAATATATTTTTGGACAGTTTTAATTCTCAATTAATATTCCTGATTTGATATTGTAGAAAAGATAAAGAGAAACAAACAGAAAACGAAAAGTATCAGAAAGATTCGAAGAAACACGGTAAAAAAGCTAACAAAGAAGAAAATAAAGATCAGTTGAAAGAAGAAAAGAATACCGAATCTAAGAAGGAAGAAAAGACTAAAACAGGTTGAAAACAATTCCCTTATTATAAACGTAAGGTACCAATGTTTCCCAATTGGTGAGTCGCGAACTACAATATCCTTACCTAACGACAAGTAGGCTACACTCTACTTGTCATAATCTTGCTCGTTATGATGATTCCGTCTTTCGATGGCAGAACGAGCAAGAGATTTAGAATTATTCCGTATAAATAAATTGAAGAAATTCAGATCGAATCCGAATCCTTCAGAGTACAATATATCAATTCATTTGAACCATAACAAAGGATAATACATTAAGTAAACAATATCTAATATGGGAAACATTGAAATAATGTTCAATAAATATGTTATTAAACATTATATTCAATATATTTATTCTAAAATAATTTCCTTAGAAAAAGAAAAAAAGCAAAAGGATAGTTCTAAGAAGGTAAGTGTGTGTATTTTTTAATTAAAAAAATATATTTTCACATTGCTTAAGAGTTCATTGCTGTTCAGGATAAAAATAAAGAAAAACCCAAAGAAGAATCGTGCAGCAAAGACACGTGCAACGAAAATCCTGCAGAAGCCAAGGGGAGCGAAACGCTTTGCAAAACTCACGCAGATTGTCAGCCTGGCTCTTGTTGTAATCCTTCGAGTGGCTGTCAGCAAATCGATGCACGAGAAGGGCAAAAGTGTTGGAATTCGTGCATGTGCGGCAATGGATTATTATGTTTTATGAATAATCAAGATCAGAATGCGGTCTGCAAAACTCCCGTCCAAGATGATATTAATACGGGAACTTATCTTCAATAATTCAATTTTTTTGTAGTAAACTCTTAAATAAAATCATTTTCATTAATTATCCATAAATCTCCATACGGGATTGTGTTGCCTTCATTGTTACCCGATATAATCTTCATTTTTGAAGTTTATATCAGGCAAACACTAGTGGACACTAGAGTCTAGTGTTTCTCGACCTATTATAGTCCCTTTTGAGGTTATTTTTCCGTGGCCCTCCATAACGGAAGCTCGTAGAAAATTTAAAAATTCCATCAATTTTTTAAATATTTCAAAATCAATTTTTAATTTAAATAATTATAGCATACTTAGTGTGGACTACCGTACACACTTATATATAATAAATGGCGTTCGTGATCTGATGTTCCATATAAAAACCGTGTTTCTAATGCTGCGAGGAGTTGCAACTTGCTGCTCTCTTAATAGCCAAAAGAGTTTCACTTTTATTAGTTAATTACGAAAAGTCGATTTTAAAATTGTTTTTTTTTTCTTTTTGTAAATTTCATATCATCTTGAACGGTGCAATCGGCCCCGAGAACTTAAACCAGAGAATAATAACCTGAAACAATCCTATTAATTATATTTTACAGTTTTTTCTCCCTCTTTTAGTTTGTTGAGTTGCAATTTGAAAAAATTGTAGCCCTATACATCCCATTGTCGTGTCAGTCTGTCTTTCCTTAATCTCGAAAACGGATTTAGATGGATGGAAGACAAGACCAGATATGGAAACCTTACGGGTGGGAGGCCCCGATTAATTATATATGAACTTCCGATGCAAACCGGATGTCACGTTATTTCAACTCAAAACTTTCCCCCGAAAGCAATTAATAGATGATCGGCACGACTCTATTGTTAAATGAAAAGTATGATGTACGGGGGGCAAGACACTACTAATTTGAGGTGGAAGCATATATTTTAAATTATATTAAGTAAAAATTGCAGTCCGGCATTATGACGATGTCACAATAAATAATTGCTGGTTGCAGTTAGATTCTGATCTGGGTTTCATTTTTTTTCGTTGTTTTTCTATAGACTGTTTTAAGACTGAATTGTTATCATGCGTTACACCTTTCTTTTTAGAAAATGGCTGTTTGTAGCCTTTTTCTAAAAAATGCTTGACCAAACACTGCTAATGTTTCTCAGGAATGTCTCTTCACATTGCCATATTTTATTGGCCCATTTGGTGATCTCCAGATTTGACACCAATTGAGCTTTCTGTGGGACTAGATGGGACATCACAAGTGTGGGGATCTGGAGAGGAAGCTGCAACATCTATGGGCAAATATGCCCCAGGATAGTACAATTCATGTATGCATCCATGTCTGACTGTATTACCATCTGTATCTAGGCAAGAGTGGCCCTACAAGATACTAAAGGTTTCTTTAAATTGTACCATTGTTGCACAAGAAATTGTTCCTTTGCTGTGCGAGAATGGTACAATATTGTAATCACTTATTATTGTGTCCTTAACTTGCACTAATAAATTTTTATTTGATTTCAATGCCTTCTCCTCCTTAGCGTGTAACTTTTCTGTCAAAGAGCATATGTTTCAAATCATTTTTATCACAGCTACATCTACTACCTCTCAAATAATTGCAATAATCACAGAAGGTGGGAATTCCTGTTAGCATTTGAAGATGGCATACCACTGAAAATTTGGACTTGTCTCTAACTCAATTGTATTGATATCATGATACACATGCTTGTTCAATTATCATTTAGATACAAGTTTCTACATTCCAAAGCAAGTGACGACACTTTTAGTTTACCCTACATATATATTATTTGATACATTAAATTTTAAGAAAGCAAATCATTGATAAAAACAACAAACATACTATTACCACAAAAATTTATTGATAATTGCAAGTAATGTTTGGCCAGTGCCTCAAATATAAACTTGTTGATACATTGACACATAACAAGTAGTTGACTGCCCAAACCATATTATTGCCTAACTTTTTATTTCAAACAAAAAATATGTAATTTTGCTATAAAAATTCAAAATCATTACACTGCAATTAATAAGTACTGTTTTCTTTTTTACAAAACTACAAAGTATTTCTTGTCTTTGCTGATAATGTTAATGAAGAAAAATCAAATTCTTTTAAACATCTATCTAAAATTATTATTTGCATACAAAAATGTAAGTAATCATTAAATTATATTCCTTTAATTTCTAGCTCAACGTATACATTTTAAATGTTTAATCAAAAATTAAAAATATAACATTTACGAATTCAATTTCAAAAGTATTGTTATTCAATACCTTTATAACTAGGCTGTATTACATTTGTGTTGCTTCTGTTTTTTCGCATTAATTCCCTAATTCTTTCTATCCTTTCTTCTTTTGTTTCAATGTGAGGTTTGTTTTGAATTGTATGCAGGATATCCGCGACGTATTTTTCTGCATCGAATTCTTCGGCCTCTTTCATCATTGCTAGAAGTTCTTCTCGGAACGCTCTCTCTTTTCTCATTTCTTTCTTTATTCTACGACGTTCCCATACAAAATACATTCTCTTTCGTAGTTTTCTCAATTGATGTTTCTTCATTTTACGCCTACGAATACCTATTAACCGTGCGGCTTCCTTTTTAATTATTTGTTGAGCTGGCGCCTGAATATTCTGTACTTTATCTGGATCTTTTTTCTCGATTACTAAAGTTAAATCTTGATGAAAAATTATTTGCCTGCTAATTGAAGTTGGTAATTTATATTCATTTTTAGATTTCTGTTCTACATATGGAAGAATTAGTGGAGTAATTGACTGACTTGGAGATAAACCAATATTCAATAAATTCTGTTTCAAACATAAACTTGGCATAAATTTATTGATTGGTGATGTTATATTATTATGGATACCATCTGTAAAAATTGCATTATTTTTTAAATAAAATTTAAAACAAATATATTTTAGACATTATACAATAGTGCTCAAAAAAAAAAAAAATTCAGAATATTTTACCATAATACATTATTAATTAATAATTGGTTGTATCATTTATCTAATATTCTGAATGCTTCTAAACTATAGTCTGTTCCCTGTAATGTGAAGAAAATGAAGAAGCAAACCGGCCAACTCATCATTGTATGCAACAAAATGTATCTTTCCACATTACCTGTGTCATTGTAGAAAGAACAGTAGTGTCCTAAAACATGTTAACATTCATTTTTATAAATTTAGTCCTACAGACAACTGTTAGCAAAAAGTACTGGTTGGGTAGATATGTCTACAGTTTTGTAGACCTATAAATTTCCACTGTCATTCATCCATCTTTAAATCTATAGAACGATGTTAGATAGATGAAAATCGAGACTAGATATGGAAAGCTTAGGGGCAGGAAGCCCCAATTAACTATATACAAACTTCTGGTTTGCACTGAAAGTCACATTATTTCAATTCAAAAATTTTCCCCTGAAAGGAGTTAGATAGATAGATGTCTATCACAACTCTATTGCTCATAGGAAAAGTATGTTGTACAGGGCAAGACATTACAGTACTAATTTGAGGTGGAGAGCATATATTTTAAATTAAATAAATTAAAAATATGAATAAAAATTGCAGCCTAGCATTGTGATGATGTCACAATAAAATAATTGCTAGTTTTGTGAACTATTTCTTGTGGAGCATGCACAAAGTTATAATAAACAGACTATACCTGCAAGTGGTAACTTTATTGCATGAAGCCAATCCACTATTTACTTTGGTGCCTAATTCATAAATACAATGTGCTCCACTAATATATACAATGTCTTTTTAGAAAACACATGGAGATTTTTCAGTTTCAAATAAAGAAATCTAAATATATAAAATTGCTTGTCCTGACTGACTCACTCATTCATTCACTGATTCATCATCGCCCAGAGCAAACCGCTTAACCTAAAGAGGTGAAATTTGGTACACAGTTAGGGTACGTCATGGAAACGCACACTAAGAAAGGATTTTTCGAAATTCCAACGCGGGGGGGTGAGGGGGAGCATTAAGTCTTAACCGGAAAAACGGCTTCTACTGCGCTATTTTAGATGCGATTTTTTGTTTTTATCTGCGTTTTAGTAGGGAATGCCATGGCAATGCACAATAAGAAGGGATTTTTCGAAATTCCAACGCG